TTTTATCGAGAGTATTCTTAGGTAACTTCAGTTATCTATAATGTAATTAACTATAGGGGCTTGCCCTTATAAGAAGTTTTTCCCGAACCCAGCATAATAAAAACCCTATTTAATTCCTTATATTAAATATGGGAACTTGTCGCCAATACATTGTTTTTACAGACCAAACGGATGTTATAACTTTCTTTAGCTTATTTGATCGAGCCTCACCCTCAACTCTTGTGTTCATCCTTCGGGATAGATACAGGATTTGAGGTAATACGCTCTTTCATCTAAACTATGAAAATTATGGGGTCAGTTTGACTTCATCTTTTTCAAAACTAAAATTTTTTAAAAATGTCCTTCCGAAGAGGGCAACGGGATTTCAATTCCGATGATCGACAGCTTCTTACGGGCAAACCCCACACCAAAAATAGTGCCGACAAACCCGTACTTATCTTTGTTTATTTTTCTTTTTGAGTTTTTGTTTGAAATATTTTACATATATTTATATTTGTGTTTTCATAGAGTCTGTGTATTTGAGAAAATGATTTTAAAAACATATTTATTTACATAATTTTATGGAAGAATTGAGTATTTTTTTATCAAAATCAAAAATGCAATTTTTTTGTAACTGGTGCATGACGCCCCAGATTGGCGCATGTGTGCCAGATTGGCACATGACTTGCTAGATTGGCGCTTGATGTGCCCAATTCTAGAGAGCTGGCGCATGATGCGTCGTGGTGATGAAAATGACTTAAATCATTTTAAAAGGCAATTTTTGGCGGGTTCTTTTCTTTAAAACTCCAAAAAACTGATTTCGTAGTCAATTTTAGGGGGGAGAATGAGAGAGGAGTGGTTAGATTTCAATTCTAAAGGCACTCCACTGTAAAAATTCTGCTAGATTTTAGATTTTCAACTGGAGAAAGTTTGTATTTTTGATGCACAGAAGTTGCATGATTGTGTTCTAGTGAAGAAGAGACTAATCAAAAAATGAGGGTTTGTCAATCGAGGATTCAATACAACGAATACTCGAGTTAAAGAGATTATTGCGCAAAGACGTTGAGAAGTACTTTGTTACACTACTGCCACTATAGTCTTCCCTATGGTGAAAGAGTTTTATGAAGATCTACATGGAATCAACCAAGGAATTGTTTGTGTGCGAGGAAGGTTTGTGCAGTTAACTCCTTCAAGAATAAATGAGATGTTTATGATTGAAAAGGTCTCTATATGCCATTATGCAAATTGTACCCCTATGAGAGATAATGTGAATGAACTCTATTAGTACCTTACGGATGAAGATGCAAATTGGGAGGCCAGAGATGATGAGAACATAAATTTTTTGTCATCATTGTTAAATCCTATCTCTAAGGCATGACCTTCCTTATTGCATCAAAATTGCTGCCTACTATAAAAATTAATAAGGTAACTAAGGAGAGTGTTATTTTAAATTACTTTATTCAAACTTGAAAACCTATTTATATTGGTGTAATCATTTTGAAATTTGTATTTAGTTTGATTTTTGAATGGGTCTGCAACCAAACTCGGACATCCATCCCCTATTTTCTTGTTATGCAGTCAATCGCAAGTACCTTACTAGAGTTGGGAAAAAGTGTTTCTTCCTAGGAAGCCGATGGATCTAAAAATCTATTGCAACTGTATTGGAATGGGAGATGAAAACGAGATGAATAAATTGATGGATAAGGGATCACAGAATTAATCACCTATTCAGTCTTACTTCAGTTCTAATGCACTTTTGAAAAGGGTCAAGAAGTTAGAAAATGAGGTGCAAAATCTTATGCATACAATGGGGAATATTTCAGAAATGTTGGATCACTTGGATTGGAGACTTAAAGAACATTTTTAGCATATTGCTCGTATTGAAGATGGCGTGGTACATATGTTCAAGAAACATGCTTTTATTGAGGAGGATTCGACTGATGAGTTTCCTTACCGACCCTTTTACAACCTGTATGTGCACTATCAATCTATGGGAGATATCTAAGAGGATGAGAGTGAGAAGATGTTTGAACTTAATCTATGCACGGAACGTTTTATTTAGCACTATTCATTTTAGTTGTTTGGTGTGTTGTATCGCATTTACTTTAAATGTTGAACTATGTTGATGTTTGTGTTTGAAATTTTGATGTTTCGAATTAGATTTTTGGTAGCTTGATAAATGTTAGTTTGTAATAACACGAATTTTATATTTAAAAGTGAGGTTTGTGTTGTTTATGAAAGATGTTGTTAGAGTAATGTTAATCAAGCTTATAAGGGTTCATTTGAGTTAATTAGAGGTAGACTTAAAGCAGTACGTAAAAAATTTCACAGAAAATGAAATCTAGAAAAATTAAGGCGTTGCGCATGCTGCGCCTGATTGGCGCATGATGCGCTGTTTTATAGAGAGTTGGCGCACAATGCGCCAGATTGGCACATGGTGCGCCAAATTCCCAAAAATGTCAGACTGCCTAAAAAACTTCTAAATCGCACAATAAACTCCATTTTTACTGCTTGGGTCATCTCCTACCTCTAAACCTTGACCTAGGGCTTTAGATTAGGAGCGATATAGAAGATTTCAGAGGCTAAAAATCATAGATTTTAACTTCTCTTGGTAAAAGCTTAACTTTAACTTAGAAATTTTTTATTTTCACCACGGATTTTTCCTACATTATGGAAATCCAAAAATTGGGATTTTTGATGAAAAAGCTTGAAGAAAACTCATTGTGAAAAGTTTCTTACCAAATAATCTTCCTTGGGGAGTTAGATTTTTTATCTTGTAATTTATTTGAAATTTATTTGGATTTTGGTAGAATTTCAAATGGCTCCACAAGTAAAGAGAGGAAGGACAGATGATTTTAATGCAAGAAGATTTATTAATTTGAAGGCCCGTCAAAATTATAACACTCAAATCGAATCAAGAAGATTGATCTAAGAACGACTATTTGCTAACCCGGGTGGCGAGATTGAGAGGTTGATTCTTACTAGAAATTGGGAACGGTTTTGCTACTTCATTGCAGTAGCAATTTTGCCAATGATTTGGGAGTTTTATGCCAACTTGAGATTTACTGATGATGATCACATTCTCGTGAGAGGTAAGCAAGTTGAATTTACTGCAGAAAGGATCAATACTTTTATGGGTTGAGGAATGTATTTCATGATGAATATGTTGCATTCGTGATGACTGATTCATCATTGGATGAAGTGATTGCCTTATTAGCTGATGGAAAAGGATAATGGAGGATTAAAAATAATAAGATAGTTAGCTTCTCTGCTTCCATGTTGACTAACCGATCAAAGTTATGACAGCACTTCATTTCTGCTAAATTACTACCAACAAATCATCTTGCTGATGTAACAAAGGATAGAGCTTTATTGAACTATTGCATTCAGAACATGAAAGCGATAAATGTTGGTGCTCTTGTAGTTCATCATGCACAAAGTATAGCTAAGAGCTCTACGGTGGTTTGGGTTACCCTGCCCTAATTTTCACTCTTTGTGAACAATCAAAAGTAGAATCTCATAGAAATGAAGAAAAACTACAACAACAAAATCCTATTGGAAAGCATATGGTTTAGAGAGTTGAATCATTTGCTTAATCTAGGAGAGGAAGAGGTCATAGACCCTCTACACCAGCTACAGGGGCATCTACTTCTTGCCCTGCATCATTAGAAAATATTATGGACCAACTTATGGACCAACTTCTATTATGGACCAACTTCTGATTCAACAATTGGATATAGTGAATATTCAGAATCAGATTGGAGAGATTGGAGCAAGAAATTCTTATAATGATGAGTATCAGCAGAGGAAAGGTTAGCATGATATTGCTTTTGAGGATGGCATGGTGAGGTATCTCAGGGGTGAATATAATGTGAAATTTCCTACTTGCCCCGGCTTTACTCCATATACTCCTATTCATGATGAAGAAGAAGATGATGATGATGATGCGGAGGATGAGGAAGGCATGAAGATTGATATTTTTTGGAGTTAGTATATTTGTTTTGTTGTTTGTTTGTTTGTATGTTGTATGGATTTTATTTGGTTGGCATTTGAATCTGTTGTAGTAAAAACTTTTATTTTTGTGATGTGGACATAAAATTATAATAGTAACAGTAGATTTTTACTTTTTTGCATTTTTAGTAGTTTCAATTTTTTTTTTATTTTTAAATCTGAGCAAATCTTTAGAATATATTAAGTCTCATTTAATGCTTTCAAGCCTGTGTGTATTTTTAAAGTTAGTATTTGCAGTATATCAGAGCCCTATTTCATAATCAGAAATCCTCTACAGGTTAGTTTTTATTTTCATGCATTTACTATTTTCTCTCACCAAAGGAATTTTGTCCTAAAATATTTTTAAACAATGCTTAAGAACTTAAGTTTGGGGGGAAGAAAAATTTCTTTTTAAGAAAAGAAGGAAACTAAATTTTATTTATCCTTAAGTAACAATTTTTTTAAAATTAATTTAACATGACATGGGATATTAAGATTAAACTTTAAATGACTACACTTAAGTTTATAAATATTATGGTAAAATTAGGTAAAAGTTTTTAATAATGAAGGTCAATTCTAATGTTAAAGATATTTGTTATAATAGGATAAGACTAAGTTTTTCTATTTAAAGTAAAGAAAATTGTAGTTTTAAAGTATTAAGAATTTTAGAGATTCATGTAAGAAGAAAAGAATGAGACTTTATGAAAATCATAAACTAATATGAATTTATAAAGTGAAGGAAGGTAAGGAGTTTTAACTTTGAGAAGAGGATAGTGAAGTTCAAAACTATTAAAGGCTATATAGATATAATAATCCTTACTTGAAAAAGAAAAAGAAAAGAAAGGATTGAAAAGATCCTAAAGGTAAAAAAAAAGGAGAAAAAGAAAAAAAAAAGAAAAGAAAAATAAGTGAGGAGAAGCTTAAGGCAATGCTTAATAAAAAATTGGTTTCACTTGAATAAACTTAAGAAAAAAGCTTTATTACATTTTCTAAACTTGTATTGGATTACTAGTATGGATTACTAGTAGCATTTGGATTACTAGTAGCATTATTAGTAAAGTTTTCCTGAAGTTATTTTTCATATGAATATTCTAAATGTCCTTGATATGACAAATTGCAATTCTTCTTGAAATAAATAGAGATTCATATATCTTAAAATTGACTATGAAATACTCTTAAACATAGATTTAGAATCTATGTTATTAGAGATTTTTCTTAAATTTTACTATTTTATTTATTGAACTAAAGTATGGAAGTTATAAGTTAGTCTCTATCCTATGTTATATGCTTTTATGTAGTAAAAGTGTTATTTGAGGATAAGTAACATTTAAGTTTGGGGGATTTGATACAACGAAATAATATGTTATTTTAAGCATATATTTAATGGTTATTTTTTGGTGATATTTCACTTTAAAAAGGGGTATTTTCATGTTTTTGTTGCAGGTATATCAATTTTAGGCATTTGGAGCAAAAATAATGAAAAGGATGAAATTTCGTACAAAAACAATGAGGTTTTGAATTATGGCGCATGAAGTGCCAGATAGGCAAAGATCAGTGCTAGATGTGCCAAAGCTCATAGCAGTACAGTCTTCAACAAACTAGCACATGATGCGCCAGATGCGTCATTTGACAAAGAGTTGGCGCATGATGCGCCAGATTTTGTTCCAGATGTGCCCGAAAATACTTTTTGCAGATAAATTTTGCGCAAATTTTCAAAGGGACACTTTTTCTAAACACCTCTTAGAGTAATTCAATTCATTTAGATACTTTGGAATGTTCTTTTATGAAGGGATATGTCTCATAGATCAATGGACATGTCATTTGAATTCGAAAGAGTTGACTTTTGGACAGAACTTTTGAAAAAATTTTGAATTCTTTTTGGAGAGAGGTATCCTTTAATAAAAGACAAGAGTTGAAGGAGGAGGCGAGTAAAGTTGTGTGGCATGAGTTAGAGAGAGAGAGAGAAAGTCAATGGCTTTGAGATTTTCTTCAAGGATTGTATAAGGAGAGGGAAGGTGAGAGATTTCTTCTTCATTACACCTCTAAGAGGGAATTGTGAGTGCTTGTAAAGAGAGAAAGGCTTGGAGAGAACTTATAGGAGTTTGCTTGGGAAGGATTGTGAGATAAGTTGTGTTTTTTATTTCTTTTATCTTGTAAACTTATTTTTATTAATGAAATCTGGGTTTTTTTTGTATCCTTCTCATGAATTTTGAGTAGTCTTCTTTATCCTTCTCCCTACTTTGAGATATGATTTTGTGAAGAATTGATTTTGTGTTATAATGTTTTAAATGTCAATAATTTATGATGATTTGAACTCCAATCTTCATTTACTTTTCGATCTGGCCAACTGAAATGTTAAAATGTGTTGAGAAACATATGTTTCAAAAGGGCTATGATTTCTACAACATGGGGATAATCAAATTTGATTTCATGGGGGGTATTTTATCCATGGAATTGGGTGCAAATAAATAGGGAAATATACTTAGTTGGATGCAAAATTGGAGATTTTAAGGTGATAGATTAAAATTCTCAATGTGGTCTACTTGATTAGAAACTGATGTGGAACTGTTAGCCCACAGAGAAGGGAGTAATGGGAGCTCTGGAGTCAGCCAGTATCCTCCCAGCCTAACCACGGAATTAGAAGCCAAACTCTGGAATAGTAAATATTCTTTATACATTCGTAAGAGGGTAAAGAATAAAATTACTCCTATTTAGCACAAAGTAATTTTTATATATGTTTTCAAATGATTTTAATTTCTTCACAAACCGTATACTTATTGTAAAGGGGAAGAAGGCTTTCTTAAATTTGAACTTTCCGTCACAACATCTTAGATTTAGTTTTCGTAAATTTACTTTTGAAAGTTTAGCATTTAGTTTAGTTAACTTTGTCTTTCAATTGCATTTTATTTAGCATTTACCTGTTAATTAATGTTCAAACTTCGCAGTTTACTGTTGGTAGTTTTAAAATAATACTTTACATTATAATTTTAGAAACTTATTTACAGGCATTTCCAACTACTCTGTGGGATCGATATCTAAGACACCATTAGAGCCCTTTATTACTTGAGTGATGCGTATACTTGCGTTATTATTAATAGGGATTTGGCTGTTTAAAGATTATTAAAAGATAAAACTATTTTAATTGAAGTTATTTTGTTGGGATTAATTGAATATTTTGTTATTGTATATGTCGTGTGTATTTTATAATATTAAACAATATTTGCAAAATTAACACACTAAATCCACCCGCATCAGAAGGGTATGTGAGAAGCCAATTGAAAGATATTTCAAAAATTGACACAGTATAGTGAAACATGTTTGAATATAGTTAAGAAAAAAACCTATATAAGAGTAAGCCTTATTGTTTGATGTTATACAAAGAGTGATGAGGGATGTCTTTGAACCTTTAGACACAACAACTAATATAAAAATTTGACTACCTTCAATATTTGAGGCTCTTGAACTTGAATTAAAAAATCTCCCCAATCACTTTAGGTATATATTATTAAAAAAATCTTTAGCTTTTCCAATAATTATTTATGCTAATTTGAATGATGTGTAAGAGAAAGTTAATAAGAATTTTTAAAGTCCTATAAAAGAACCTTTATTTGGAGCATAATAGATATTAAAAGTATTAGTTGCTCCTTATGTATGCATCAGATCCTAATGAAAGAAAATCATCAGCCAAAGATAGATCCATGGAGAAGAATCAATATAGTGATGAAAGATGTTGTAAAAAAAATTCTAAATTGGTTTGAAGCAGGAATCATTGATCCTATATCAGATAGTGCATGGGTAAGCCTGATTCATTATTTATCTAAGAAAGGAAATTTAACTATAATTGTGACTAAAAAGAAAGTGCTCATATTTATTAGGAATGTCATTGGTTGAAGAATTTGTATATACTATAAGAAGTTAAATAAAGCTACTATGAAAAAACATTTTCCTTTGCCCTTTCTTGAACTTATATTATTTAGGTTAGTAGGACTTCTTTATTTAAAGTTTTTAGATGAAAACTTAAGATATCATCAAATTCATACAAAAGCAAAACATGGGGACAAAATAAGCTTCACTGCTCCCTATGAAACAATTTCTTTTAGAAGCATGTCCTTTGGAGATAATACCTACACTAACTTTCAAATGTGCATGATGTCAACTTTCATTGTCTTATTGTTCATGACAATGAGGTGTTGGCAAATTATTTTTCTCACTTCTTATGGCACGTGCTTTGAATCTCTTGCAAGAGTATTGCAATGATATGAAGAGATAAATTTAATTTTAGATTTAGAAATATATTAATTTATGATCACTAAAAATATTATTGTAAACATGAAATTTTTTTAAAATGGTTTGGAGATTGATCATGCTACCCCCATCCACTTTAGTTATAAGGATTAGGAGCTTCGCAGGGCACTCTAATTCTTATAGAAAACATATTAAGGTTTTCTCTAAAACCGTTAAACCTCTACGTTATTTATTAGAGAAGTTTGTCCCCTTGTAATTTAATCATGGGTGCTTAGAAGCTTTTGAACTTCTCAAGAAAGGCTAATTAACGTCCCTTATATTGATGTGCCAAATTAAAATATCCTTTTGAGCCAAAGTATCCAATGCAGCGTCGGGGCGCTATATATCCATGGTGCCGTGTAAATGTCATTGATGGAAATTAAACATTTTAGTGTGAATTATTATAATAATGATGTAATCAAAGAATTGTTGATGGAAACAGTCATTGACGGTCTTCTAACCTTTCGTTCCAACACAATTATAGATTCCATAGCTGCAGTGCACATGTACCCAAGCATTTAGCCCGCCATTGAGCTTTTTAGCACTAGTCGCCCATCAGAAATATTAAACGCAGTGCTCATTCATGTGTTGAGGCTTGTATTGAACTTTGTTAGATATAGTTTTGTATTTCTATTACTTTACCAATTAAGGGTAGTTTAGTCTTTTCCATATTGTACATATATATACTCTTGTAATGAGGTATTGAGTATGATTTTGAAACCCTAGCCACTTTTTTGTCTCTCTTGTTTTCTCATCTCCTTCCCCTTGCAATTTCTAACATGGTATCAGCGAGATTCTGATAATCGATGGATTGTCCTTCGGAACACAGAACTCCCGTTCGCAAACTCCTCTCGCAACTCCCGTTCGCGACTCCTCCCTGCCATCCGTCCCACTCAAGCTCGCGATTCCTCCCTCTCTGTTCGTGATTTCCGCTGATACTGTCCGCGCTTGTGAGGCGCGAGATTTATTCGAGTTTATAGGGCTGGGGACTTTATCAGATATTTTAGAGGTTCATTTTCATTTAGTTGTCGTTCTTTAAGTGATCTATCGTTACTGGTATTGATCTTCCTCTTATTTGTTTATTTTTTTTTGTATCATTGCAATGACGGGTGAAAAGGACGATTCCCTTCAGTCTATTAGTGTCCAATTAAATGGACAAAATTACTCCTATTGGAGTTATGTTTTGAAGAATTTTTTGAAAGGAAAAAGAATGTGGAGTTATGTTTCTGGAACATCTGTGAAGCCTATAAATGAAAAGTATGAAAAAATGAAGAAATGTTGGAAGTATGGGAAGCAAATAATTCAAAAATAATCACTTGGATCAATAACTCGGTTTCACAATCAATCGGTGTTCAATTAGCAAAATATATAAAAACCCGCCAAAGAAGTTTGGAATCATTTGGAAAGATTATATGTGCAGTCAAATTTTGCAAAGCAGTATCAATTAGAGATAGACAGTCGTGCTCTTCAACAAAACAACATGAGTATTCAAGAATTTTATTCTGCTATGACTAATCTTTGGGATCAATTATCTCTTACTGAATCTGCAGAATTACGAGGTTTTAAACCATACACTGATCGTAGAGAAGAATAGCGTTTGGTTCAGTTTTTTATGGCTCTTCGAAATGATTTTGAAGGGCTTCGTGGAACTATTTTACACCGCAATCCTCTTCCAACAGTTGACTCTGCGGTTAATGAGTTATTAGCTGAAGAGATTCGTCTCAAAGTCTCAATATGAGAAAGGGAATGTTAAGAAAGGGATTCTCCCCACTCCTAATCCATCTATTTTTGCTGCTACTCATAAAAAAAGTAAATCTCATGGAAAGGTTGGTTTTGATGAATGTAGCTTCAACAAGCAAAAGGGTCATTGGAAAGCTCAATGCCCAAAGTTGTTGAACAAATCTCAGTAGACACAACAACTAAATCCGCTACACCCACGCAACTTCAAGACGTTAAAATCAAATGTTGTTGTTGTCGTTCCTTCTACAGACTCTTCTGGTGTTGGACATGCATATTCTTTAGGTCCCACAGTAGCTGTGCTTGCTGAAATGTTTCAAAAGTTTCTTCCCACACAACCACATGCCATGTCCGCCTCCTCAAATATAGGTTTGCCTTCTTCTAGTTCATCAGTTATATCATCTTCCATTTGGATTCTTGACTCTGGAGCCTCTCATCATATGTCATCTAACTTTACATCATTTGTATCATTACATCCTGCATCATCTGTATCTGTTATGACTGCTGATGACACTCCTATGCCATTAGCAGGCATTGGATCTGTATGCACACCGCATTTATCCCTTTCAAATGTTTACTATATCCCCAGTCTTACTTTGAACCTTGTTTCTGTTGGTCAATTATGTGATTCTGGTTTCTCAGTTTTATTTTCTTCCACTTCTTGTTATGTGCAGGATCCGCAATCCAAGAGGCTAATTGGGACAGGCCGTAGACAAGGTGGACTTTATATTCTGGATGAGCTGAGAGTTCCAGATATTGCAGCTTCCAGTGTTGACCTATCATCTTTTCGTTTGAGTTCATCTTCTTCTAAATTTTATTTATGGCACTCTCGCCTTGGACATGTTTCCTCTTCTCGTCTAAAATACCTAGTTTCTACAGGCGCTTTGGGCGAGTTAAAAACTAGTGATATTTCTGACTGTTGTGATTGTAAACTTGCTAAATTTTCTGCTTTACCCTTTCCTAAAAGTGTTTCACTTTCTGTTGCACCTTTTGACTTGGTTCATTCAGATGTATGGGGTCCATCACCTGTTGTTACAAAAGGTGGATCTAGATATTATGTCTTGTTTATTGATGACTATACCCGATATTGTTGGCTTTATCTTATGAAAAATCGGTCTGAATTTTTTAGTGTTTATAGTATGTTTCGTGCATTTGTCAAAACTCAACATAATGTTGTTATTAAATGTTTTCGATGTGACCTGGGAGGTGAATATACCTCTACTAAATTCTCTGAATTACTTGCATGTGATGGGACTTTCCTTCAAACTTCTTGTACTGACACTCCTGAACAAAAGGGAGCTGCTGAAAGGAAACATCGTCACATTGTTGAAACAGCTCGTTCCCTTCTTTTGTGATAGAAAAGGCGCTTTGGAAGCTATTCTTACTGCAGCTTATATTATTAACAGAATTCCATCTTCTGTTACTTCAGGTTTGTCTCCCTTTCAAAAATTATATGGTCATGCTCCTGATTATTCTGCTTTAACTTGCTTTGTTCTTCTTCCTCATGTACAACGTAATAAATTGTCTTCACGCTCGGCAATCTGTGTATTTATTGGTTATGGTGACGGTCAAAAAGGGTATTGTTGTTATGATCCTGACACTCAAAAACTTTTTGTCTCACGACATGTTGTATTTTTTGAGCATATACCATATTACTCCATTCCTCCTTCTTCTCATAGTTTTACAAAGTCTGATCCTATCCCAATTGATCCTTTTCACACCGACACAGATATTGAACCTCATCATGTGATTCATCATCCAAATCATCTTGATATTGAGCTTGTATCCTCCTCTTCCTCGGTACACTCACCGTGATCGTAAGTCTACTAAATTGTCATATTTTGTTTACTCTACTTATTCTAATTCTTTTGCTTCCTTTTTAACCTCCATTCACAATTTGTCTGAGCCCTCTTCCTATCAAGAGGTTGTTCTTGATCCTCTTTGGCAGAAAGCTATGGCAGAAGAACTTTATGCTTTGCAAAAGACAGATACGTGGGACCTTATCTCTCTTCCTCCAGGAAAACGTGCAATTGGTTCTCGTTGGGTGTATAAAATCAAAACTAAGTCTGATGGGTTTGTTGAGCGATATAAAGCTCGTTTGGTTGCTAAGGGACTTTCTCAACAATATGGTCTAGATTATGAAGAAACATTTGCTCTTGTTGCCAAAATGACTAATATTCGTTCTCTTATTGCAGTTGCTTCTATTCATCATTTTCAGCATGGCATCATCACCTTATCCTATATTTCTTCCTCCATGCAACTTGCTGACGTGTTTACAAAATCGCATTCCACTCAACATTTTTGTTTTTTGATTAGCAAACTCTCGATGATTCTCCTTGATGCATCGTGAGTTTGAGGGGGGATGTTAGATATAGTTTTGTATTTCTATTACTTTACCAATTAAGGGTAGTTTAGTCTTTTCCATATTGTACATATATATACTATTGTAATGAGGTATTGAGTATAATTTTGAAACCCTAGCCACTTTTTTGTCTCTCTTGTTTTCTCATCTCCTTCCCCTTGCAATTTCTAACACTTGCTACCTTTCGAGTGTCGCGACACTACAACATTTTTTTTTTATCTAGGATAAAATTTGTTTTTATTTTCTTCACTGTCGGGAGAGTTTTGCTGGTATTTCTAGGAGTAGAAGAGTCTAGGAGAACCTTTTCTTCAATTTCTTAAATTATTCTCTTCTTTTTCTTTTCATGGTCCCAAAAACTATTAGTAGGAACCATCCTTCGCTTTAATTTGGAAAGTTCATCATTTTTAAAGCCTTTGCATGATTTGACGAAATTTTTATCCACAGGAAACTAATATTAGTGCGGAGCTTCCTAAACCATAGTGGTAGTTTTTAGGAAGAAATGGGATATGTTTTGTTCTGAATAAGACCCGATCATTGTGTCTGAGTTATGGGGGCAAAGAACATCAAAATAATAAAATTTATGTGATGGGGAAATGGATGTTCAATTCCAAAACCATCAATTCCGTCTATAGATTACTTGACATTGGCTTTAATTAGTATGCGACCTTCAATATTTTGAATTCCAAATTAGGTCTGATGCGGTTGCTTTTTCGATGGAGAGTGAGAAAAAGCTTAGAAAATTTTCTATCTCTGCTTTAATTTATAAGGCAAAATACTGGCATTACTTTTTTTTTTGTTAAGTTGATACCCATCAAATACATTAACATCAGAGCTAAGGATATGGCAGTCCTCAATTTTTGTATTCAGAGAGTGAAAGATGACCATAGATCTAGGGAATGTTATCCATGCTTCTATTTTAAACATCATTAAGGGGGATTCAACCTTTGGTCTAGGCCGCCCTTCCCACATCTATGCAATGTGTGGGAAGGTTGGTGCTCTTGGAGATTTTGTTGAGGAATAACTCTTTCCTAGTCGACCAAGGACTAAGTACATAATTTTATCATACAAGAGCTCTAAAATTAACTCGAGTAAGAGTTCTTCCCATCCTTATTCTTTCAGTCCATCCATTCAACGAGTTGGAGTTTCCACTTCCTTATTAGCTGACCAGATTCATTCACTGAATGAGCAAATAACACAGATGGATTAGTGGCAGTGGGATATGGGTTAAAATTTTGAACATTATATCGATCAATACTAACATCCATATACCTGATTGGCTGAGTTCAACTAAACCGTTATGAGCACGTTTGCATACTGACAGAGCGCGAGTCTGGATGTTGTTCAATTCCTTATGACACCTTTATTTCAGCATTATAGCCCACCTATGCAACCAATGGAGGAGGAAGTTAATGAAGCTGAAGAAAAAAAGGAGTATTATTATGTTTTGCTAATTCGTGATTGTATCTCTATTGTATTCCTGTTTTTTATGTTTTTAATGGGCATGCTTATGTATTTAATTGTATATATATGTGTGCATGTGATAGCATTAGTTAAATATTAATGTTTTTTTTTTGGTGCCTACTTTGTTAGTTGCATTTTTTTAAAATGCCGATGTTGTAAACCAAGTTTTTTTTTTCTTTTTTTTTTTTCTCTTTTTTTTTTTTGGTAGGAGGGGGTGGGAGAATGTTCATATATATGTTGTTTTTCACTTAAACTAAAAATATAATTTAACTCATAATAATTTAAACTTTTGATTAAAAATAAAATATTGAATAGCAAAATAGTCCTTAGATTTGAAGGGATTGGAATCAAAGATTTAAACATTCAAACTTTCAAAAAATCATATTAAGTATAAATAACTTGTGCACTTAAATTACGACTAAATTAGTTAGTTGATTTCATTATTGCACATAATCCAGATTTCATAAAAATACAGCACTAGATTAACTTAGATTGAGTTTAATAAATTAGGAGAATATAAGATTGTTATATCTAAATAAATTAAGTGATATAGAAAAGAATTAGTACAGACTGGACTATAATAAATATAGAGAAATATGGATTAATAGCAACATATTCAATTAAACAAGGTGAACCAAAAATATCTCAAATTAAAAAGTAATAAAATTCTTAGCTAATAAAGATAATCCTCTAAAAAAGATGTGGCTAAAAATAAAAGAAATTTCCATCAAAAAGAAAATCAAGCTTAAGAAAAAAAAGATCGAAAAAATCACAACAAGAAAAAGAATACAAGTGAAAGAAATGCTTGATACTAAGTGTTAACATTTGAGATTTAGTCCTTTATCGAAATCTTATAAGTAGAATTATTAAAATTAATTATATTTCCATTATTTGGGTTATATTAAGGAATGAAAATCTATTTTATGGTCACTTGAAAATTTTAAGCCAAGAATTTTTAATATTAGGTTAATTGAATTCAATAACAATAAATAATTTCACATTGAACACTAAAAAATTATGAGTTATGGGAACATCAATGATAAAAAATTTCAGGCATTAATTGGATTCCATGAAATTTATTATTTATGATGATTATGCAAAGTTTACAATGCTTTAAAAGAGTTTTGAAAAAAATTAAAATTTTGAGAGAGTTTTGCTATGAATTGAAATTTGGGGAATTATTCTTCAACTACGATTATTTGAGGACAAGTAAGGTGCTAAATTTAGGAGAATTTGTTAAATACTAGAAACATGTAAAATTTATGATGTTTTTTTTTTGTTCTACTTTCATGCTTTTCACGGCATTTGTCTGTGATTTGAATAGGATAACAAAAAAATGAATAAAAGATGGAAGAATATTGCATAACATAATTAGCGCCTAAACATTATTTCGATAACGCCCCTGCATTGCTTTGACAACACCCCGATGCCAGACAACCGGCCTTAACACTACTGAGATAATACCTTGACACCCAAATGCATAATTTCTATCAAAAAACAAGAGAGTTTGACACCTTGGTGCAAGTAAAATATCGCTCCTGTATCAAGATCAGAACGGCCCAGTGTTATATTCAATGCACCACAGGGCTGAAACCAGTAATCAGAAGACGAGTACTCAACACCTCAATGCCAGGAAGCAACGCCTATGGTAGCGATGTGGTGATACATCGTGGCGATGAAACCCAACCAAAGATGTTTATAAACAGTTTTGGCAATGGTTTGATGTGTAAATCTATATAAGGAGGGTTTTTAGTTTGTGAGGGAGGTTGTCAGGGGTGTGCATAGTGATTGAAAGCGTAAGGGAGTAAGAGAAGCGTGTTCCAAGGAGAAGTTGGAGGATTTTTTTTGCAGGGAATCAATAATATTTCAGGTGAGTGTTTTATTTAACATTTTCTCTTGTTCTAGTGTCATAATTTTTCTATATTTTCATTGTCGCATTGTAAATATGTCGTCCAATTAAGTTCCAAACTCCATTGGCATAGTATTGTGTTATATTTTTCATATACTAAATATCTTTGTTGGAATGAATTGAGACAAGTTGATGCGTTAACTTTGTGAGCTTAATTTACTTTCAATTTGACCAATTGATGGATTGAAACTTGTTGTTTATTTAGTGAGATCGAAAGAAATCTTGTTGAACAATTAATTTATCACACGTTGCTTTGGTTGAATAGACATATTGCTACGAGGAGATTGCAATCAATTGAAAAAATTTATTTTCTGGGAGTTCTTGTATGGTTTAGGAGATTAAACTAGAATAAAAAATTTCAAGATTTTCTATTAAGAAGAGATCAAGAGTATTTTATTCTTGATTATCAACTGCATTAGGCAAACTTGAATTAGACTGAACTTAAACACATTACTAGCTTGAAGGAATTTTTTATTACAAAATCCAAAATGAACTAAAAACATTTTTGTTTTTGGTAGACTTTAGGATTTTTTAATCTCACATTTGAAAATTCTCTGCATTACATAAAATTTATACTCTTAAGCTAATACTTGACTTAATTTAAAAAGTAACTAAGTTCCGTGAGGGATTGATATCTAGATGCATAATCTATATACTACTTGATTAACACATGTACTTAAGTGAAACATGTATACTTTTGCACAACAAATCAGCCAAGCCTACAAGCCATGTCGGCAATCAGTATTTGTTCATACATTAGCATACTTTAATAGGTACCGATATGAGAGAAATTTTGGGATCTTAACATCCTAAACCAAATTCTGACAAGGTTATGTTCATCGTATATCATGTGTTACCACTCACCCCCAACAACCATTGTGAAATTAGAAGGGGAGTGGACATTTGAGAAGCTATGGTAATATTCTAATTCTGATTTATGTCAAAATGCCATTAGGCAAATTCTTTGTCCTAATTTACCCTTGGGTCACGCATTATAGAGCTAATAGGAACTCGCATCTTCTGAAGCTATACCATTTGCTCATTTGAGGAATGTTTTCTTACTAATTTTTGCAACAAAAGTTTTCTGACAAAGAAAGCTTTTTAGACTAGAAAGCAGAGATTAAAATAATTACCACACAATTTATGCTTACGGTTTTTGCCGAAGAATCATGGATTGCAAGCATCAATAGAACTGCAACCCTTTTCTTTCCTTAATCCTCTTGCACTGGCCATACTCCTCACAGCCTCTGCTTCCCTCCACCTCCCCACTGCAGCATAAATATTCCCAAGCAAGACATAGTTTCCAGTGTTCTCCGGCTGTATCTCAAACAATCTCTTGGCAGCCATCTCTCCCAACTCCACATTCTCATGTACCACACAGGCTCCCAACAGAGCTCCCAACATTGCATAATTATCCTTGTAAGGCATCTCCTTCGTCAGCATATAGGCTTCTTCAAGCCTACCAGCACGGCTTAGGAGATCGATAAGACAAACACCGTGATCAATTGTTGGTTTCATGCCATGAACCCTTGTCATTCGATCAAACAATCTTAAGCCTTCCTCCACTAGGCCAGCATGACTGCATGTATACAGAACCGAAGTGAAAGTAACTTCACTTGGTTCCACTCCAGACTCCAGCATCTGATCGAAAAGACATATTGCTTCATCTGATTGACCGTGAGTTCCATATCCGGCAATAATCACGCTCCAAACAACCAAATCTTTTGCGGGCAACCCATCAAAGAGCTCCCTTGCAATGTCCAAGCAACCAATCTTAGCATAGGAATCGATCAAACATGTCATTGGTTCAATGTTCTCAAGGAAGGCAGTCTTAAGCAAGTAGCCATGGATGTTTTTGGCCTGCTGCAAGTCTGCAGGACTGGAGTAAGCAGGAAGCAAACTTCTCATTGTGACCACATCCGGCATTATTCCATCCCAAAGCATTAGCTTGAACTGCTCAGTTGCTTCATGCATCATCCTATTTCGAGCAAATCCAGATATGATTGCATTCCATGTTGCAGTTTTTTTTGAACTACTGACAAACATTGTCAAACTCAAATCCATCTCTCCACATTTAGAGTACATATCAATAAGAGCAGTCTCTACAAAAGCATCAGTCTCAAGTCCAATTTTAATGCACAAGCCATGAAGGCATACCCCATAAACTTCAGAAGGCAAGTTTCCACAAGCTGTGAGAAGAGATGAAATTGTCATTGAATTTGGTCTAATATCAGACAACTGCATCTCATGTGACAGAGAAAGTGCTTCAACCATACAGCCGTTAAGAACATAGCCTCCAATCATAGCTGTCCAACAAATAACATCCCTTTCCAAGTTTGATTCATCAAAGAGCCTTCTTGCTACATCCAATCTTCCACACTTTGCATAAGTATCAATCAGCGCATTTCTTACTGGAAGATAAGATTCAAAGCCATTCACCTCCATCAACTTATGAACCCACCAGCAGCTCCGCAAATCCTTCAATTCAGCACAAACAGGAAGCACAGACAACAAGCTGGCTCTGTCAATCAACATGCCAGAACTTACCATTCTTTCAAAAAGAACCATTGCCTCAGTCGCAAAGCCATTTTGCAAGCAACCGGCGATCATTGTGTTCCAAGAAATAACACTCCTGCAACCCATTTGATCAAAAACAATCGTGGCTGCATCCCTGTTGTGACAGTTCATGTACATATCAATCAAGCAGTTCTGAACATACTCATTTGAACTGAACCCTTCAACCATTGTTCTGCAGTGGACCTGCACGCCTGTGGTGAGAAGGGAGAGCTCGCCGCAAGCCTTAAGGACAAAGGGGTAAGTGAAGTTGTTCGGTCTGTGATGTGAGGATTGCATTCTGGTGAAGAAACGGAGTGATTCATTGGGGAAACCAGCATCGACGCTGCTGCGAATGAGGACGTTGAAGAGAGAGGGAGACTTAAGGGGTATTTTGTCAAACAATTGATGAGCGTGAGAAAAATGACCGCATAGCGAGTACGTCGCGGTGAGCGTGGAGAGGAGAAGGGGATGCCGTAGGAGGACGCCGGAAGAGATGAGGAGCGCGTGGAGATGTTTGCAGGAGCAGAGTGATCGGCGGCGAGCGTAGGATTGCAAAAGGGAGATGCATTGTCTTATTGTAAAAAATAAAGGAGCCCGAGACTTCTTCCAGTAATCCAGAATATGACTCGGAGAATTGATTTTGAGCATAAATGACTATAGATGATCTGTTCCGTATAACCAAATTTGAAAAAAGTTTGATTGTCATTTGAGCCCATAATTTGGGATTGAGCAGGATTCAAGCTTCATATTATATGTTTAACCAAATTTGAAATTATTTTTCGAACTTTGGGTTTATAAAGTTAACCGTTGAACAATATTTTAAAACATGGCTCAAATTAGGTTGGAACATTGTTTAAATAGCATATTATAGCTTTGAACATGATTTGAACTTTGATTAGAACATAGAAATCGAAAAATAAAAAAATTAGCATCAAACTATATGATTAAATTTATTATGAACTTTTTATGTGTTGCTTGAATCCATTTATTTTACATAGACATGCATTTGTTTCATTTTATTTTCTATGAATACGTATTTATGAACTAATTATTCTTGTGGATTGTGATTAAATTACATGTCATGTATAAAGTTAGGAGTATGATGAAAAAGAATTATAAAATATTTTGGAAGCAATAATATATCGGAGGGGTTAAGTATTCTCTTTCCAATTATTTGTGAATACTTCCAACTTGTAATTTCTTACGCTTTACTCAACAACTTCTCCTTAGGTGAGTACATATTCAAAAAATTTATAATGATTACATTTGTTGGTCGTCGAATTTGTTTGGTTGCTTTGAAAATATAATTTAATATAATATATATATATAATTTTAAAAAGTAGTATTTTAATATTAAAAATACGAGACCGAACCGATCTCATACATTTAATAGTTTAAATGATCGAGCACAACACACGAGCAATGCACCTATCCCGAGGAATAGACATATTATTTAATAGTGATACTCGATTAAATAAATTAAAGGATTTATGACATCTGTTTAGTCTTTGAACCTTTATGTTGACCGACAAGTTTCTCTATCTAATATAAGAGATTAGATAGAATTTATATTACTAGGGTTCTAAAATTTCCTATAAATGCAAGTTTTTCTAGTTAGTTACATCTTAGACAATCAAAATCGCATAAGAAAACAATGAATTTAGATTAGAGGTACTTGTCTTCAAGATTTTCAAAGTTTAGGGTTTTCAATGTTATACATGGAAAAGCTAAAGGGGAATGGTTCAAAATGAGAACATTTATTTTCGGAATCCAAAGGAAGAATAGTAGGGGATGTCATAGATTCTAAAAAGAATTTCAATGGCTTCCCACACTATTGTATGGTTTGGCTTCAATTTCGAAGAAATATTTTTAAATGTTTCATCTTGTCAGTTTTATTGTGTAGGGATTACATTCACATGATCTTGATCATGCAAACAACCCAGAAAGATGGGAGGGCTTATGTCGTGCCAAATGACAACTGTGGATCCTAAAGAGAGTTAAGACTGCTCAACATGACTGTGCAAAAGCTTAAAGATAGGTTGAGAATTTACGTCGTACTTAGCGAACTACCTAGAAGTCATATGGCTTATTGTTTAATTCTAAATAAGTATTTTTTGATGTAGACCCGTTGCTCTCTCGAATATACTCTTTTGTGAGTCCTTATCATGATGCCCATGGTGTTAGCTCGAAGCTCCTTGTTAAAGTAGCAGTTTCAAGGTTTAAAAGGTTTAAAAAATATTTAGTTCAAGGTTTTATGTTTCACATTTTTTGGTGTAAAAGTTTGGTTTTGTTATTATTATTCAAATGTCATATCTAAGAGAGTTTTAATTTAATTAGAGCGACACCGGTTACGATCTCACAGTTACCTCATTCTGACGTCATTATTTTTGTAAGCACTTAGTCTAAAAGAGTTGTCAAGCTCGTTTAGACCGTAGAATTCTCTTTTGCAACATTGGGTTATTTCATCCGAGAAATCCTCATAAACCCAAAATGAGTTATTTAAGGGTGTTCAATTGGTTTAAAAGTGTATTTATATTTTGTTTTATTCTTTTCAATTTTTATTTTGGCTTTTGGTTTTAGTATTGCATTTAGAGTAAATAAATGCAGACATAAGAAATACTGTAAGGTAAATAAGAAAATTGTAGTGCATAAAATGTAAATGTGTACCTGAGGCTCCGCTACCTCTGAATGGTTAGAAACATAAAGTATAGTACATTTTCATAAAATTTAAACAAAATGCGGAAAAAGAAAGTGGCAAAAATCTAGTACACAGCAGTAGAAAAGCAATTCGTAGCAAAAATACGAAGAGATAAAGCAAAACCCAAAGTCACATATGGAAAACGGAGACTAAGTGCAAGACATCAAAGAAGGTGGGGGTTCAGAGCTGGACTGTGTGTTTTCCAAACTTGGGTAGGAGCTACCAACCCAAAAATCTACAGAGGGCAGTCCTTCGCTGCGATTTAAGTGACTAGCCATGGACCTTTGTAAGTTTTTATCAATTTTTTTTTATATTTTCATGCAAAAGTTGTTGCTTTAAATTTCCATGCAGAGTTCACTTTAACAAGCAAAAGAAATCTTATCTTATAACTTTTGTAAATATTTTGTAAAGTAGTGTAGTCCACAAGCTATCACTCTAATAAAACTATGACTACTGACAATATAAGAGTATAAGGGGCAATAACCGCACCATGACTCGGTGAATAGTATCATCAGGATTTATCTTCTCCCCTTGCTGAAGGTCCTTAAGGTAGGAGATACAATTCTAAAAATCTCACTTTGTATCCCTCGTTTGAGCACACATAAACAATGTCGTGATTGCCCTAGCCACCCAAACCTCAGTCTTACAACGGTCCAATGATCCATATGTGGCAAAAACCAAATATCTCCAACATCTCACAAGGACTTAAATACCTTAGAAAAAACTCAAGTCCTTGAGCAGTGAGTTATTAATGCAGGATAAGTAGTATAGGGGATTTATATTGATTTAGGTGATTTAACAGGCCTCGGGTTATATCTTGGTGGGTTCTTTAGAATTTCATGTTCATTTAATTTGAATTTGGTTGTAGTTGTATCTTGCGGATTATTTTCTTGAAAAATTCATAACAATCTAAGGTTTCCTTGCAAATGTCCAAAATCTTGCAAGAGAGTCCAAAGGATAACCCCGAACAACCTTAGAATCTCTCGGATCATTTTAAGTTCATTCTTGGTTTTACTCGATTGTAAAATTAATCAATTCGGCTAAGTTAAATTTTATGTTAAATCTTTTAACCTATGTTCATTGAGCATTAACGTTTTAATAAACCCATGAGCAGGTCAACTAGTCATTTAACATTATGGTTGACAAATTATGTGGGTAAACACCCTTAAGAGTAAGTTATGTTAATAAGGAGTTCATGCCAACTCCTAAACTTGAGCATTTAGTGTTTAAGAGAAACTCATAGTTGATCTTATCTCTTTTCTAAACCTGATTAAGTTATTTGTAGATTAAACCTAGTTCACTACTAAACTCTTAGGAGTCTTAAGGGTAGAGTCTTAATTTGAAAATATTGGACAGGATGCAAGTGATTTTTAACTAAAAAGATAAAATTGCATTGAACCATTAATTTATGGCTTACATTAGTGAGTTATCATTCTTCCTATTTCAAGCCCTTCACATTAGAATCATCATACTTCAATTAACTTCTGAACTTCAATAATTTAGAGAATCACAAATTGCCCCTTTTATAAAGAATGGTATTAATTGGTTTATACCTTTTATCCCTTAAGTTTCAATCATCCAATAGAGTTTATTATGATCAAAGTTACCCTTTACCCTTATAACATGACCTAAATTTTGATTAAGCCATAAAATTCCATAATTACCTTTTTACCTTTAAAGTTCTTTATTTCAAAATTCATTCATTTTAACTCAAATGACTTTGAAACTTTAGTTTTACCCTACTGTTGACCTCACTTTTGGTTGAGGTCTAGAAAACTTCTTTAGTAGCCTAGGTCTAGCCATAGGACTTTCCTATTGACTAGTCTTAGAAAATTAGAAGAGGTACCCCACCATTAGAAATTCAAAGCCTTTCTCTTTACTCAACTTGAAGTTTCACATATTGATCTTAACTTCTAGCATTTAGTAGGTAAGATCATTGTGAGAGGACTCAAGAGGAGTTCCTATAGGATTACTTAGCCTTAGGATTGACCCTAGGTGTTGGTTTGGAGTTAGGATACACAATATCCTCACAATATTTTAGCTAAAACCAATCCATAAGGACCCAAAATGGGAATTTCATTGATCCATGATTCATTTAGAATGGATATTTATCCAATCGTATTTGAAATGCCTAACTTGGTCTTTTGCCCCTAGGCACCTCCAAATTACCTAACTGCCATTGGGCCCAAATTTGGCCAAAATTCCTAAATTCTGCCAAAATACCCAAAATTGATCAAAACTCATTCCAAACACTTTGATCACATCAAAATTTGCCAAAACTGACAAAAATGGCCAAATTACCAAAATGTCCCTCCATGGCCTAAAAATCTAAGAATTCCAAAAATTCCCAATAAATCCCTATAAATCCAAAATATTCCTAATTTCACTTCGCCCAACTACACCTTGGTCCAATTTGGTCAATTTG